AATATCTAGTGATGACGAATAAAAAATAGCAAAAAACTAATTTTTAAAATTATTCTAAAACTTGTGGACATGTTTTGCAATAAAAATTCATTTCATTAAGGTTAAAATTGACTTTTTAACAAAAAAAACCTAAAACCACTGACCGGCCATTTATGAAAACCTCCCCCTTCTCGGTCGTATCTCTTCTTCCCGGCTGAGCTTGTCTCCTTCTTCCTTCCTTCGGTTCCCCAATCCAGCTGGTTTGCTCCTCCAATATAACATAAAAATGCGATCCCTTCAACGTATATTTACCCAATTATCTTTTAAAACCAACATCAAAACCCTAAACCTCAGGGTTTTATCAGATTTACCAAAACGTTTTTCCACTGAAAATGGAAGCGGCAATAACAACGATGATAAGAAAGAACCCGATTGGGCGGCCCATTTCGGTGGGACGGGGTCGTTCAACTCCGACCCGTTGGGATGGGACGTGGGTCCGTCCTCGTGGTCAACTGGGCTAACGAAGGAGCACTTTGACGGTGAAGTCGTTGGGCAGCAGGTGGAACCTGGTTCGGATCGAGGTCGGACTAGTGGCGGTGGCTCGGGACAGAATCGGGGCGGTGGCTCGAGTCAGAATCGGACTGGGAACTGGTATTCGGAGGCTAGGTGGACGGACATGGAGTTGGCGAAGGTTAAGGAGTTAGAGGCAGAGAACCGCAGGGGAAAGGCGTTTGTGGATGGCTGGGATGATAGAATGAAAGAAATGACTGAACTGATGAAGCAGGTCAATTTTATAGATTACTTCCTTCTTATTCTTATCCTCTACGTGCGTTTGTCTTCTCTCTTTTTCAGTAATTTGATAGATGGAGAACAAAACCCAAAATTCATATTTCGTCATTTATGTTTGTTTCTACACGTGTATGTATGCTCAAGTATTTGCAGCCATATTCAAATAATTCTTTATTTAGTTATTTTTTTTGCAGAAAAAGGTGGGAAAAGTGTGTGGTGTTTGCCTGTGTGCGATCATGTAATGTTGTTGGAGGGTTCACTCGGGGGAGGGGAAAGGAGTGAATATTCTTGAACAAGTTTGTTTCATTGGGATTTTTTTATTCACTTGATATGTGTTCTTTTGCCAGTTTCGACAGTGATTTAGTATTAGGTAGAGCAAAGCCCTGACTTCTGAGTGCGAAAAAATTACTCATTTCCATTTTCATCTCTTTACATGCCTATGCATGTTTTCTTCTTTCCCTGTTTTAATAGTGATCAAGTAGTTGGATAGAGAAACTTAAATATGCGCACACAAAAAAAAAAATGTAATTTTGTTATGCTTTTGAAAAAGTGCAGGTGAGGGAGCCAGGTGCAAGAGGGTCATATTTGAAGGATTCAGAGAAGGCAGAGATGTATAAAAAGCACAAGGAAAACCCAGAGTTATACACTGTGGAGAGGTTGGCAAAAGAATACAGGATTATGAGACAGCGGGTGCATGCGATTTTGTGGCTGAAGGAGCTTGAGGAGGAGGAGGAGAAGAAGCTTGGCCAGCCCTTGGATGATTCTGTGGAGCTCTTGCTCGATACCTGCCCAGAGTAAGTGAATGGAAAAATTGAATTTGTGTTCTTTGACTTCATAGTTGTGCATACTATATGTGTAATTACTAATTACTTATCAACATGAGTGGCTTAGCTTATATCTAAAAAAGAAGCCAAAATATTGACTTCTTTCTGGATTCTATTGACAGTAAGTATGGTCATGCTTCAAGATAAGCCATATATTATTGTCTAGCTAAGACAAAAAAAAAAGCCCATTTTTTGGCTTCTTTAGCAGTAAGCTAAGTGAAACATGCTATATGTTGTGTTTGATGATATCATACAGTGTAAGTTATTCATCCAATAACCAATTGGATTGGTTGGTTACTATCTTTATTTAATTTGACAATAATATGGAAGAGGTAGTTGGTAGTAAGTTGTACTTTTAGTGAATGACAGCCACTCATGTACATCTATAAATACCTGTACGCTGTAATACTTTGTTGAATTTCAGTGATTTTGAGCTGTATTGTAGTCAGAGAAATCAAATGATTAAGGTTAAGACTAGCAAAATTTTAATTTGTTTTGATTGTTTTGTTGAACTTGGATTTTGACTCTTATGTTGTCTTGACGGTTTAATAGAAAACATAAGCGTTTGATTCAAGCACAAATGCTGCGAACTCTGAGATTTAAGTAGCATTATTGTAGGAGCTGCCTAGTAATGTTGTTAAAATGTGCCCGATCAAAAGTTCTTTCCCCCATTGGAAAAGCCAATCATGCGTTTATTGGACTACGTTGCCAACTTGTCTTGTCATGTCTCATGTCTTTGCTGGAGTTTGGACCATGCTGCCAGCTTGTCTTGTCTTCTTGGCAGGGCAACAGACTTGAATAGTTGTTTTAGTGTGTGTACGTAGAAAAAAATAGCATGACGCTGACCATAATTTCCAATAAAATTTGGATTGGCAACATTTTTCAGAGTTTTCTACATCGTGATTGCATTTAATGAAATTTCCCAAGTTCATAAGCCATAATATTTGCAAGTCTCTCATCTATCCGCAAAGAGATCAATATAATTGCTAGTGATGTTGCTCAACTCTTGCCATTTCTGGAATGGACTTGCAGGTCATGTTACTTTCCTTTGGGTATGCTCCAAAAATTCATCACTATTAAGGCTTTCGGCCTTTTGTGGTTTTTAGTTAAAAAGAAAATTTAAATGCTTCATGCACATGCTTTGGGTTGATATGACTATTTAGTTCTTTATCTTTAAAATAAAATTCTTTAGCTCTAGGGGAAAATAACCAATGATCTTTCAAATGTTTTCTTCTATTGAAAAAGAAGATTTATTTCTATTATAAAATTCCAAAAGAGATACTTGATAACCAAAAATCCAATGGCCTATTCAATCCTTCGTATTTTAGATCCTTAGTTGAACCTGCGCCGAGCAGCTCGAGCTTATTCCCATGGAAGATGGT